GAAAAATCATCGAACGGTCCTCCTCGCTCTACGTGTCCCCAAACAGACGGCCCAAATCTACACATGATGGATACTTAAACATCGCATCGTAGGATAACCAAACCCTAGCTGTCTAGCCCTCGTCGGAGAAAGAACCATACGCCAGAGAAGGAGGCCGATCCCCTGCCACTGTCACACTGGAGCCACCACCGACCGCCAAAAAAGGTAAAAAAATTTCCTCCGCGCTCGGAATTCAATTCCGAGCCTCTAGTGGCCACATCGTGATAAAAAAGACGGCGAGTGAGACAGAAATCGTGGGTAAAGTCATCGCGGCCAAAACTCTAAGCCCCCCATCAATAGATTCAGTTTTTTTGCTTTTCTAGCCAACTGAGACTTTTTAACGTATTTTTCACAAGAATATGTATAAAACCAACCAAAATCGGTCAAAACCGGTTAGGTCGCGGTGAACCGCTGCTGTGGGGGCGGAGCCAGCACTAGAGCACGGTGGCGTTGCCGTGCCGAAACTCTAAAATTGGCTAAAAAAAATTTTCAACACCGATTTTAGATTTTTTGGAGTATTTTTAGCTATATGACGAGTATTTTGATTTTCGCACAAAAATTCAGGAAATTCGAGATCCATTAGGAGACGTAGTAGATAGTACGACATTTCAAAATACCGATCTATATGAGAATCCCTCACTCTATTCCCTGTTACGGTAAATTGAGGTTTAATAATCAATAATACTGTATTTTGTAAAAATTTAAAAAAATTCTAAAAATAATTATAGGTTACTAGTGGAGCCGGAACTGGTCAATTTATATTTGCCCTAGTTTGTCTGTGTTATCTATTCATTTTCCTATGCTGCCTAAATTGATTATTATTTGTCATGTGCTTTAATTATTGCTTTGAATTATTTTTTCGTTTATTGACTGTCTAATCGTTATTTTCTTGATTTGATTGACTGATTGGAAATAAAAGTCCTGAATACGTTTATTGGTTATTAAGGTATGAAATTGTATTGTTTACATAGATATCGTTTAAATTAATATGTGAATATGGTATGAAATGTTTGTATGCACTTGGTGGTTATTTTGTTGATGGGGATCTTTATGTGAAAAACTTATTAGGTATCATAGGAAATGGTGGACGGGCCCGGTACATAGGGAACCTTACCGTGAACGTTACCTCAGTTAGATGGGGCTGGGAAGTCTAATATCGAAAGGGTTTGGGAGATATGGTTCACCCTCATACCAAACGGGGTATCAAAGCGATGGAATGTTTGGCGTCCATTATCAAATGGGATATGGGGACGACCGATTAATTGATAAATTTAGATATTGGGTTCACGCATTGGGGGACATCCTTATGGACCCCTAGAGGTACCAGTAAGCATGTAAAAAAAGAAAAATTATCGTTTCTTGTTTACTTGTATGTGAAATTGAAAAGTTGTACGTATATTGGTTTTCATAAGTTGATTTTTAAAAACCTCATAACGGTAAGTATGGAATAAATAGTTTTCTTCATGATAAATGAATTTACTTAAGTTAAGGACTCCATTAATTGTTTTGTGATTGTTACTATCCTTCAATTTTTTGTATCAGTGATTAGTGTTATATTTTTACTGGAGTAATGTCGTTCATTCTTCTATTAAACATTTTATATCAAGAGGATCAAGATGCAGATCCCGATTAGTAAGAAAGTTGTGAGTATTTTACCTCCCAGACCCCTTCAAGAGTTAGTGGAGGTTAACCCCTAGAACATTTATCTAATTAGTTTTAAATTATTATTTTTTTTTTCTTTACGAGCCGCTGTAGTAGGGACATTCTCGTATTCCTATTGGACATTCTAAATTTTTATGTAAGATTTGTAAACTTTAATATTATTATTCGCTTCTGCATTTAAAAATACAAATTTATTTTTTTTTAAGTTCTGGCCCATTACATATACAACTAGTCGGTATCAAAAGCTTTAAAGCTTAATGAGTTTTATCGAATATAATTTTCTATCAAATATTCTTTATTTTTTCAATAACTAAGTATATTAGGAAGAAATTAAATATTTTTTATTTAATTAAACTTAAGATAAAACCAATATGATTTAATAAATTATATTCTGTGTTCATTAACTTCCTCTTCTTTTTTTGACTAGTTGGGTTTTTTTCTAGGGGAATGATCTTTAGGTCTCCTTCCATCATTGTTGATTACTTGCTCGATTTTAGTATGGTTTTTATGTTTCATTTTTTAGAACAGTATCTGCATTCCAAATGTGGATTCCTTCTTTGGCAATTGGGTCTCAATGGTAACCTCTAGTTGTTCGACAGTATCTACAAAACATAAAGGGTTAGTAAGCTTGGAGTAATATTCAATGTTGTGATCGTAGATGTCATAGTTAAAACAAACAATATGAAATCCCTTACATTCAACATTAAAATTTCTTTTATTTAACTATAATTTTGATAAAAGTAGTTTCATCAAATCAAGATCAACATAAAGAGCAAAGTTCTATTAAGTGACCAGAGATGTTTATGTCCACTTATAGAACTTTGCCAAACTGGACTCATAGTTTGTGCTCCATGAAGTCAACATTGAAGTATTCCATGCATAATCCAGGAAATCGAGTCCACATCACCGCTTTGTCTATAGTTGCATCCTTCTGTACGAAGTTGGAACTCCACTGTCTCATAATGAGATAATGACCAGAGATGATCCATGGACCTCCCAAGAGGGCAAATTCATACTCAAGTCTCTTTAGTGAATTTTGCAAGGAAAAAATCATTTCCTATATCAATGGGTTATAGACCTTCAAATGTAACCCAAAGTTATTAAAAATGTTGCTCAATATAGTAATAGTTAATTTTTTTTCCCATAAGCTTAATGACCAGAGGTTGTCTTCATGGCTTTCAAAGATTAACCATCTCCTCTCAAATAGATAGATTGTATGAAATAGTTTACTATGCTCTGCATCTTCTTGACCATCAACGACAAACGGGAGGATTGAAGTTTTGAATTCTCCTTAGGAATAATCATTTCAAACATAATTTATTTTTTTCGTGTATCTGCATAGAAATTAAAGTATCTTGACAGTACTGACTCTTAATAATTTTACATTATATTTATTCTTTCCTGTAAGGTGGGACATCGATGGGTCACTTAGATCATCTTTTCATCCTTAAGCGATCCTCTTGAGTTATGGTTGTAGTCTCCCCATACCACTTGCAGTTGTTGTTCCTTTTTTTAATCTCAATATTGAAAGAGTGTTATTAATCTACAATAAATTTGTGAATTCTAGTGAGATAGATGTCTACTTTATATATTATTAGTAATGTAATATGTACTATTTATTTTATTCTCTTATTTTAATTATTACTCTAAAAAATTATTTAATTATTATAAAAAAAAAGTCTAGTAAAAGTTAAATATATATTCTATGAAAATATTTTTTCTTTTTATTTTCTCTTCCAAAAAATTTATAATTTTTTTTTAATTTTTTGCTAGGAGAATTTTATTTAACCTCTGTTAAATTATAGATACACGTAAATAAGTTACTGTACTGTGATTTTTTTTTTAAGTGCGTTAAAAGTATACAAATTGAATTTAATAAAACTTTTATGTTATTAAAGAAAGTAACTATAGTTTGAGTAAACGTCTTCTGTTTTTTTTTTTTTTTTTATTGTAGAATAAGCCTATTATGTTAATAGATAAACAATTTTTCATCTTACATTAGTCAACCGATGTTAACATTTATCTCTCTATTAAGTAAAATATTTTTCATATGATAAAAATATCAATAAGACAATAATTTATTTGGTCTTAACAGAATCTTGACCTCATTAATCTTTTAACTTTCTTTTTAAATAAAATGTGCAAAATGATTTATTTGCTTCAAATATTTCTTCATGTATTTTCTACCGACATGGAATTAAAGCTTGTGTGACCTAATTGATAATTTAGTTAATGATGCAATTTAAACATATGAATATTAAAATTTAGGGTGATATTTTTGCATTTGAATATTTAAATTCTGGTATACAGTGTAATTATATACTTATATAGGTGAAAATCACGTTTTTAATAAAGTTTAATTATTTGTGTTTTAAGTCTTATCAGAAAAAAAAAAAAAAAAAAACTATAATGATGTTATGGCGGATGGGTGACAGAGAAAAACCATAACCTCAAACAGAGAATCACTTCTTACGCTAAAAGTTAAATTACAGACACCCATATAATTAGGCAGATTGTCAAAATTAGGACTACCTATTCTTTGTCCATAAAATGATGGCAAATTAAGCACATTTAAAATTAAAATTAAAAAAATTAACCCTTAAAACATTATATTTCTTGAACAAAATAATTAATGTTTACATATTATTTTAAATTTTATAATATACTTTAAAACATGAATTGGTACAACTCGTAGAATTTTGTATTTTCTTTTGGGCCATGGTGTTGACTTTTATATTTGTTGTTTTCGGTAGTGTTTGTATTTTTTAAATTAATTTTAACTTATCTAAAATGAGAAAATATTTTTTTAATATAAAAGTAGATATTTGAGATGATTTATAAAGTCAACATGGTCCTGTAATAATATGAACAAATAAAATGACGTTAACTCTAATAAAAAAATATAATGGTAAAATTATTTAACTTTTAAATAGGTGGTATCTATCTATTCTTACAAAATTAAAAATTAGAGAGGTTAAATATATATATATATTTTTTATTTTACTTAAAAAATTCTATATAATGGTAAAATTACAATTTTATTTATTTAGTTTTATATTATTTTAAAAAGAAGAGAGAAGAAATAAAATTTAAAAAGGAGGGGGGGGTGGTGGGGGGGGAATAATAGAAGTAGCCGTTACGAACGGCGTGAGTGCACATGGATGAAACAGAGAGCAAATGAAACTTCGAAGATCCTCTTCTGAACAATTAAAGATTTTCGAAAATAAAATAAAATAACCAGAAATGATAAAATCAATCCGACGTCGGACGTCCCACTTTTGGTTCATCTGTGACTGTAGAGCTTCCTGAAGCATCAATGTCGTCACCTCGGTTTTCTTTTTTCTAATTTATTATTTTTTACTCTTTTTATTTTTTTTTTTTTGCCTATTTTAATGAAGACAAAAGGAAGAAGAAGAGATCACAATGTGGTCGCAACGTATCTTTCCCCGATTGGGTTTTAATAGGCCAAACCAGTAACTGCTTATTTATTTATTTATTTTTTTAATTCTGTGAGGAATGAAAATATGTGCATGTGCTTGTAGTCTCTCTGTCTTCTGATCTGAGACGCTTCTTCTTCTTCTTCTTCTCATTCTTTTTTCTCATGGAGTTGATTTGAGTTAACTTTCCACTGGACTTGGAACGCTGCGTTTTTGGTTCTGACTTTTGCCAAAGAGATGAGTGACCGAGTGGGAGTGGAGTGGGAGCGGATTTGATAAAAAGGTCAGAGTTGTGGATCTTTAAGTTTGTATTCCTGGAGGTAAGTTAAGTGAAGGAAATTGAATTCTATGTCTGTTTGGTTTCTGGGAAAATGATAAGAGAAGACGACAGTTTGACTTGAAAAACGAAAACGGTTTCGTTTCGAAAAATTGGTTTTCAATGTCGTTTTGCTGTTCTGTCCAATAAATAAAATACTTAAACTCAGATGTCTGCTCAAAGCTCGGAATGGAGCGTGCATTTTGGATTTTGTTAACTTTTTGACTGCAAGTAGTATCTTCAATTGGAAAGAAAGGAATTCAGTTTCACTTCAGTATCTCATTTTGGCCTTTTGTAATATTTCTTCAAGTAGTAATTTTGAAGATCCGATCATCTTTTCCCCTATTCTGTCAGCAAATAAATGGAGAACTTTTTAATTCCGATTTTTTTATTCAATGCTTGTCTCTTTTTCTGTTGAATCTGTATATTAAGAATCAGATACGGCAGTTTTAGATTTTTGTTCTTTTTCTAGAAAATTTTTAAACAAAATTATAACGTTTCTCATTTTGATTCTGATTTATTTCTTTTATTTGTGCTATTGATTGAAATATGTGGATTTCATGGTGGTTAAAAGTAGCCTTATTGGAACTCATCTCTCTCTGCTACTGTTTATTTTCTTGATAAAGAAGGGAGGTGATTACTGCTAACCCAAAATTGCTTGTGTTTTCACCTAATTCCATTGCTTTTCTTTTGCAGCATACAGATTACCTCTTTCTTTTTCCCTCTTGTCCCCGTGAACTGTTGAAAAGGACACATGGCAACACTGAACGACATTGGAGTTGCAGCAGCAATCAATATTCTTAGTGCAGTTGCTTTCTTTTTGGCATTTGCCATACTTCGAATCCAACCAGTAAATGATAGGGTTTACTTCCCAAAATGGTATCTCAAAGGTTTAAGGACCAGCCCATTACGCACTGGTGCCTTCGTTAGCAAACTTGTCAATTTAGATTTTAGGTCATACGTGAGGTTTCTAAACTGGATGCCTGCGGCATTACAAATGCCAGAACCTGAGCTAATTGATCATGCTGGATTGGATTCTGCTGTTTACTTGAGGATTTACCTAGTAGGGTATGTTATAGTTGATCCACTTATGCAAATGCGACCATGAAATATGGTTGAAAGTTTTATGAACTTTGAAGTAGATAAATTCAAATTCTAAAAAAGAATGGTTATGTTGGGAGTTAGCCAGACTCATCTTAGCAAACTGTTTGAGATCAATGAGTATCATATGTGATTGATTCAGTCATGTATTGCCTGACAGTATCTATATAGCAGTTGTATGAATGTCTGAAAAATCTTTGTTTTCTGCTAAATTATCGGAACTGGCAAAAGTTCCTACATACTAGACAACAAATTGATCTTTCTTCTTTGATATTTTGTTGCATAGTTGATGATTGATAGCCTATCCATCAGTATCTAACTCGTGCTATTGGGGCTTTTTCCTTTTTATTTCTTGTTTGACTAGCAAATATATTACTTAAAGAGTTCATTTTGAACTGCTTTCTGTTCAAGCGTTACATACTAAAATAAGGGCTTAACTAATTAACATCTTGAGCTTTGGAACTACCAGTCAAGTGAACAAACTAAATAGAGAATTTCTCATTATAATCTGATAGAGTTCGTGGCTCCTTCAGTATAGCCTATTTTATATTTCCTGTCTGAGACTTTCCAATGTAGAATATTTTTGTTGTTGCTCTTGTGCCTGAAATTGAGTGGTTAAACTATGTAAACCAACTTATTATATGTTTTCTTCTTTCTCTTTCACTGCAGGCTAAAAATTTTTGTTCCTATTGCATTGCTTGCCTTCACAATTAT